TGAGGTTGCAGGCTTTTGAAGTACTACAGAATGGCACGCGGCGCCGAGGCGGATTCGCAGCACTCTTTCTCACAAGCCACCGCCGAGGTTGTCGACGAAGAACCCACGGCAGAGGCACGGATTGTGTTATTATACATCCGGACGGTGTTCGGCGGGATGTCCGGAGCAAGCCATGAGAAGTTTTGGCGCTGACACGTGGCGTCGCGTGATGCGACGCATAATCTCTTTTCCTCCTCCACCACTTGTCCCCCTGCCCCTTCCCGCCTCTGTGACGCCTGCGGCGGCCACAAGGTCTATACAATGATGCTTTCCGCGGTCCGTTGACCGGTCGATATCACTTGGTGGGGTCCATCCAGACGTGTCGCCCATCGCCCACTCCGTCATGCGGCTTATAACTCCTCAAGATCACTCAGTGCGTCGTCCGCGGGGCTTTAAAGCATGTCTGACTACTCTCAAGCTTCACAACGGGTCCATACTGGCAACAACAGGCCTCTCCGTTTGACGACGACGACCACCACCACCATACCTTCGACCATGGATTTTGCGCTGCGTTGATCCGCTCAAGCTGGATGGGGGTCCGAGGCTCTTTCGAGGATGTCTGACCGCTCATGAGCCGCACAGGCACATCGGGCCAGCTCCGGCCACGGCCCAATTACTGTCTCTCGCGGTTTCGTGGCGGGTACAGCTCACAACAACCGTACATCGGTCCGCCGCCTTACCTTACCATCCTCGACTCCGTCCCGTCCGTCGCCGACATCTCCGAGCTCTGGGAAGCGCGGAGTATTCCTCCTTCTGCCGGATCGCCTACCGCATTGTACTACGCCAATCGCACGCTCGCGCTCTGCGGACTCCGGCCTGAGCTTTCGGCCTTCTTGGAGGCCCGGGACTTCGTCGCCGGGGAGCCCAAGGGCGATATTACCCGCGTGTCGGGCGGCAGCGCCAGCCACCGTCAGATGTGTAGTCCCGCGGGCCTACTTCTACTCAGACGTCGATCGCGTCGCACTGTTGCCGCCATCCATATAGCGCGTACTAGTATGCGTGCTGCGGGCGTGCCGATTGTATGGGTCCTGGGAGGAGTTTTTCTGCGGGACATCACATGTTATACATGCGCGGCGCTATCCCCCGAGCGATACTGGCGCTCGTCTTCTTCGTCGCGTTAACTGACACTTGCGCTACTAGTAGGGCTGCCCAATTCGCCACCACTAAGGGTCAGGCGTGGACTGGCTATCTTGCCGCGGGGGAATCGAGCAATGATGATGCGTTCGTGCTGTCTCACTCCCCTACCATCACCTTTTCCCGGTCGACGGTCCGTCATGGTTGTGGTCGCCGTTTTGATTAGTTGAGCTCCGATGAGGTGGGTTGTCCTTTGCCTCTGTGCTCTGCTTAAGCTTTTTAGGACCACCACAAACTTGACTGGAGCTGAGGCGGGCGGTGCCAAAGTTGTGGTGTTCGGCAAGCTCAACCGGGATGGGTGCAGGTATATGGGAGATATCTTGTGGGTACTGCGGTTTTTAGTGTAGAAATTACATGTTTTTTTTTGAAACAAATCAAATGGATTTATAACATGTGCTATGTGACTGCAATGCAATATTCTCTGATTGGAGGGCGTCCGACGAATGTGTGCAAGTCTGCGGCGGAATGACAGCTGCAGTATGGCTGTTTGCGGGCGGGCAACTAAGTACTGGGCACGGGCGGAGCGGTTTCTCGCGCAGCGATGACGGCCCGTGGGAGAGATTCCCGGTATGTGGCGGCTCTAAGTCCATGTCTTTATAGTCCAGGTTGTCTTTGAGCTCCTGGCACTGCGGCAGAGCTGCCAGAGAAGGGTACACTGGCAGTACTATTAGTGCCTAAAATTAAGTAGTATAGCATAGGCGCAGCACACTGGCAGCACTACCTCAAATCTCCATGAGTAACAATGTGCTCTGATATCATAACTATTAGTACAGCGCAGTTCAAGTCTGGTATAAATTTCAGCTGAACTTGGACTCAAGGGATTGCTAGCGTGCCTGAGCGAATTATCTAGAGGCCGGACCATCAGTTTTCTTTCATGACTAATTTCACACATGTAATTCTTTGTGCAACGACACAAAGACTTGGACGCCCGTTGTTCGAGGTGAGCCAGAGGCGAGCCAGAGGCGGTAGGTCCGGGGTCAGCCTAGGGACAGCCACGCGGCCGGAGCGCGTGTTCCGGCACGCCGTAGGCTGTGCCCCCAGTGTTAGTTAGAGAGCTCATTTGCTATCCGCACTCCGCACTCCGCACTCATCAATGGCACTTAACAGTATTTACAAACTCACTTCCTTTTGACCATGTCAAACGTACGCCTCTCTTCTGACAACATTGACCCCGCCAATACTGGTCAACGGCGTTCATCCTGCTTGTACGAACAAATGGTTCCTCTCTCTTTGCCTATGGCGAACTTCACCTACAATGCTGGCGCTCCTGTCACTTCGGTTCCTGTTCCTGTTCCTCAGACATCTACTAGCACAACCAACCCTTTCCGGCCTGGTTTTGTTATGTCTCCGCAGGATCCTAATCCAAGTTCTATTCCTTTGCCAACAACTCCGCTTCCAAACACGGGTCGTTTCGCTACACCCCCAACCCCACAGGATATCAGTCTAAGATCTATCTGCAAAATCACAGTATGGTCAATATAGACATCAAATGATGATCAATTGATTTGCAGAACTGCTTTGATAGTAACATCATCCAGATCTCAGCCTGACCCCCAAAAATAATGTCACAGAACATTTTTCACTGACATATGGAGTACATCACTGTGGGTTGGTGGTGTAGTGTCAGTTCCCCTCCTGTTTCTCCTTCTTTTGGTTACCGACCCCTCACGCCTTCACGATATCGAAGAAGAAAGTGAACCTGTTCCTATGTATCGGCACACTTTCAGCAGACCTATGAGCCCTATTCAAGGCCGCTCCCGGAAACGGAAACGATTCCGGTCAGGGTCAACCAAACCGCAACCCCTCTCCGACTCTTAGTGGCAAGCCAAGTCCGTTCTTGACTTCGCCTACTAGTCGATCTACGACCCCTCCTGGTTTCCCTGGAGGTGGACCTCCTGGCGGTGGTGGACCTGGTGGTGGTGGACCGATTACTTCAACACTCCCCCTCGAACACGAGTCGAGCCGTGCTTTCATAAGCGTGTTGCGCAGTGGAATACCTTGCCTAGTTAAAGGCTTTCTTGATATGTGGTGTTTCTCCTCCCCCTTTCTTCATGCAGTCTCTGATGCTGACTATCAATTCCGGTGTCCGTTGCCCATGTGCCGTTTGCCGTTTGACTGTTCCTGTGGTCCTTTGTGGCCGCCCTCGGCGCCAGCGTCAACCCGGAGTCCATGCCATGCCAATACCAAATCCATTGCCGCAGCCGATAAGCCCTCGGTGTCCATGTCGGTGTCTGCAAGTGCATTCCCATGTCGTGTCAGTAGCTTCCGGCCCGGTTCTATCCATCCAATTCCAAGTCCGACTGTGATCCAGCCCATCGTGGCGATCCGTTTCGTGACTCTGTTCCATTCCATTCCAAGTCCCAACCAACTGATCCAGCCCATACTGGCGATCCCATGGTGGTAACCCATCCCAAGCCAAGTCCATGCCACTCCGGCGCACCGGCCGTGAGCCCGAAGCTGTGTCGATGACCGATCTATGCTGACCATGCCCATCTGTCCGTGTGCTGGCGATGCTGAGCCATCTGCCATCCGTCCAGTACATGTCGTTCCCTTCGCCGCTCTTTCCCGCGCTGCTCTGCCAGCCCATTGCCATAGAGGGATCACATCCCAAAAGGCTGCTCCACGGAGCTGTCTCATCGCGTGGTCGCTATGTGTCAGAGGAGGGTGGTGCAGGGGGATAATGAGTGATTCCGCTACTGGGGGGGTGCTTAGCCAATGTGAGGTGCCGGGGCCCATAACCTGTTGAAGAAACCAGACCAAATGTTCGATGCCTATTAGAGAGAACTACTACAGTATTTATACTATACAGCAAATTCTAGTAGGTTCTACAAATGTGAGTCAATGGAACCTTGGAGAAGAAGCCAGACGCTGCGCGTCGGTGATGGCGCCAGAGCATGGCCCGGCGCTGACGTCATCACTCGGTGATGACTTGGGTTCGCCACCCCGATTACTTCAACAGATAGACCCTCTCCTTGTCCTACAGTGTGAAGTTTTAGACAAAGTCAGGACAATTAGTTCTGATCTGGCCAGAAACATTCTGTTCTTTGATCCTACCTTCCTTTGGATGCTTAGTAATACAAACATTAAAAACAGGGTAAGTATTCTGGGAGAAGGTGTTTAGAAACAAATAAAACAGGGGTGGTTTAGAACTGGTTTTAAAACACCCCAATAAAAACCAGGCCCTAGCCTTAGGCTTGAACCATGTTACCCCAAGTCTGAAGTCTGGAAGGTATGAGGGCCTTAAACTTGGCTAAGAAGTCTCTATATACTGTATATCTCCTCAGTCCAGCCCTAAACCCTCCCAGAAATGGGCAAAATAGATTATTTTTGTGCCAGGAGCGCAAATGATGGCACTGATGGTACATTTCATATTCTAGTGTTCCTGCCCAAAAGCCACAAGCTTTGGCCCTGCCAATTTTCTTCACCACAATCAGCAAATTTCTTTTTACAAACAGCCCGAGCAACCCGAAATCGCTGCGTCCCACGCCTGTCGATTTGCAGATCATGCGACACGTGTCACACATTGACCTGTTATGGGCAGCCTTGTCCTCCGCGTCCACCTTCTCCCCTGCGGGAAGGAAGGAAGCGCACACCACGCGAGCGTCACGCGAGCGCTGCCTCACGCTGCCAGGCGACCTTGTCCCAATGCGCTCCAAGCGCGATGGGATCACGGCGCGCGCCAAATCTGGCTCAGACCCCCCGCTGGAATAGGCACCCTTGGGACGCTGCGCTGATGGACCTTGGGCCGTGCGGGGCAGGCGCGGGCCCGCTGCAGGGGAAACGAAGATGGGCCAGGAACGAGCGTTGTTCCTGGGTCTGCCGCGTAGATGGAAGATGGGTGTCGTAAGCGACGACAAGGTCGCTGGGAATATAAGAACTTTTGCGCGGGTACTTTCCCTATCGACTTCCTGTCGACGTCCCCTTCCCTTCCCTCCCTGGCCATGCTCGCTGTCGCCGCCGTCCTGCTCCTCCCTGCTCTGGCCCTCGGTCGGGTGTTCCCACGCACCGTCTCGACTGTAACGCCCTTTGGTGCCGCCCAGGGTGTCGCTAGCGCAAACGGGGCAACGCGGTATGCTGTGCGCTATGCGACCGCGCAGCGCTGGCAGCAATCGGTCATGTCGTCCAGCTGGCAGCTTCCGTATGTCGGCCTCATTCCCGTTACCCTTCTTGACGAGTTGCAGGAATGGCTTTACGGATCCGGCCGCCCTCCCACTGCAATGCCCGCAGCTGGGAGTTGACGACTCGACATTTGCGGAAGACTGTTTGTCCATTCTGCTCTATGTTCCGCCTGGCCTGGCCCCCGCACCCGGTCCTCTGCATAAGGCGGGAACCGGAGCAAATACACTCGTTTGGTGAGCCAGATGATCACTTCGTGGAATTGGCGCTGAGTTTGATTTAGGATTCACGGCGGCTCGTTTGACTCTGAATCGTCGACGGAACCCGGACTGGATGGGTCAAAACTGGCTGTTGCGACCAACGCTATTGTCGCGGTGATCCAGTATCGCCTTGGCGCGGTGAGCGGAGATCCCTTCGAATTCGGTATGGCTGATTATATCCAAGCTCGCACTTCTCGCTCCCAATGGACCTCCAAATCTTTCCGTGTTGGATACGATGAACGCCCTCAAGTTTCTCGGCAAGGTGCTGCCTTCGTTTGGTGGTGACGCCTCCAAGATCACGTTGGCCGGACAAAGTAGCGGGGCGGGCATGATCCGCACCTCTTTTTGCCACTCCATCTGCTGCGTCATTATTCAAGAGCGCGATAATGCAGTCCGATCCCATCGTGCGTGGAAACCTGAGTTGTTCGCGCTTGCTGACCTTACTCCAGGACTACGGTTTCCTCTCTACGACCACCCAGTCGACACTACAGACGTTCTTCAACGGCCTTCTCCCCTGTTCTACAACAGACTCCGCCTGTCTCGCTGGACTTTCCACCGACACCATCCTCTCCGCCTATGCCCAGCTCAAGGCGAACGCCTTGGCGCTTGACCCGTCCACCGGGCTCGGCGAGCCAGTGCGACCTGTTCTTGACGGCACCCTCGTCACCACCCCGCTCGACAGCACTGCGCCGTTTCCAGCTGTTACCAAACCACTGCTGCTGACGAGCACACGCAACGACGCCGGGCCTACTATCTATGATGCGCTGTTCCCCGGGCCAGACCCCATTCCCGCGTCGATGTTCGCGCCCGTGACAGCGTTTTCACTCGGCCCCGACCGCACGCAGACCGTGATCGAGTCGCCGTTCTACCCGATCGATCCCGATGGCGATGAGGATGCGCGCGTACCACTTCAGGTTCTCGGCACAGACTACATCTGGCGTTGCTCAGCGTGGACGCTGGCCCGGACTTGGGCAGCCAACGGAGGCGCAGGCAAGACGTTCGTGGGCATCTGGACGCTCGGCGCGACGTACCCGTTCAACGACAATATCCCATACTGCCTCCAGCCCGGCGTCGTGTGCCATCGGGATGACATCCAGATCGTTGTGAGTATTCTTTTCTTACCGCGTAACCGCTCTTGTTTAAGTTTTCCCCTAGTTTGGCACGACCCCCAACCCGACGCCTGCCCAGGCAGCACTGACGGCTGAGATTCAGATGCGCTACCGTGCCTTCCTTAACACCGGCGCGCCGAACGTGCCCGGCCTCCCGCAATGGGCACCTGCGACAACGACAGACGTCCATGCGTATGTACTGGGCAACGGCACTGTCCCCGTCGCCGCCTGCGACCCCTCTTTCTGGGGCGCGGCTGTGCAATACGACTACCAGTTCTACGGAATCTAGGAGCTCTGGTTGCCTGCTTTCTCCTTCATCACATTCTCCTTCGATATTATGGTACCACCACGTTAATATGCTGTCTCCTTCATTCTCCTTCATCCAGTTTGCCACCAATGTATCCTTAGTGCGTAGCTGCCTGCTTTATACCACTGTAGCCATTCAATTCAGATTGAGTTCTGTTCTTCATGTTGTTGAGAAAAGCCTTTGACCGAAGGGCTGAATATTGAATCTGAGACTGACGGGCAAATGAACCAAATCAAGAGGAATGATTTGAACTTTATCTTCAGCTTGACTCTTGAGCCATAACTGGCATGAGACGGAGGATGTGGCTCATGATGCTTTCTATGTGGAATTGCACCCAAATACCAGCTCACTTAATCCCTCTCACAGTCTATATTCATTTATTGTCCCCCATCCACCAATAGGGAGTGGCATGGATATACCCTTGGGTATGTGGGACTCTATCCGTATCTGTATCCATGCCACGTGGTGGCTATGTACCCATATCCATGGATACGGATACGGATACTGACCTATTTCATTCAATTAGGCGGGTCACGGTCACATCGGATTTTTTGGCAGTATGATAATATGGTCTCCAACAGTATAATACATATCCATAATATAATATAATGATAGTATTGTAGAATATTATATTATATCCACTTTCAAGGGACCTTCAAGATTTTTAATGTATCATTATGTAATATTCTGGATAGTATGCTCTCCAAACCCCTACCTAACATTATGTTTACAGAAGTACTTTAGTTACATTGCCTTATGCGGAAATTGTAACTATATTACAAGAGTACTAGTATATGAGGATTGTGTTGCCTATTAAGCTAAACAGCTTCTTATCCTAGTCTTACATATATACTTCAGGGGAACCATGGAGGCCTAAGATCAAGGTCCTACCAGGGGAGGATAGTGCTGGACTATTATGATATTATGCCAAATGCATAATAATAATAATGTGGAATATTATATTATAATTTCATTATAATATATTCTCATATTTAACCCCACTTCAACAAACTTTTGGCATTTTCAACCTTAGTTTCCAGTATATAGTTCAGTGTCAATACTCTTGAATAGTAGCTTGTCCAAATCCCTCTGTTAGATATTATTTGGAGAAGGCTTTTCAGTCACTGGTCTATATTAAATTGCCTTTTTTTTTATAGAAATTGTGACCACATGACAATATTGATAGTATCTTATAAGTGAAAGACAAAGACAAGTTTATCTATTTCTTTATCTGCCAGAGAAACCCTAAATTCTTTCTGCAGATTAATTCTCTGATATATCTAAGAGTTATCTCTGGTTTTCTCCTCGGTGAGAATCAGAACTTAAATTAGTGAATAAATGTGGCATTTATCAGACAGTTTTACTTTTTCTGCTGGAGAAAGAACAGATTTATCCACAGGCTTTCTTTGTGTTAAAGGCTATCATTTTATGTAATAGTTTTTACATATAAAAGAGAAATAGATAAATTAGGATTTACCTGTACCTTTATACTATAACTTTCCCACTGGGGAAATTTCTAAATCAGCCCAGTGATGCAGATACTCCTATATGTGGCATGATGATAAATCATAATATATGTGGCATGATAATAAATCATAATATAATTATGGCCACCACTAAGGTTTCCAAAGGAGAGGCACAATTCACTTGAAACCCACCTAATCGGAGAAGAGATAATGTAGTATTTTAATAAGGTTGTATGTCATATGTCACACTTTTTACTAAAATTTTTTCATATGTCACAGAGGGCCAAAGTAGTATATGAAAGTTTTCAGGCCGTCAGAAACATATAATTTTGAGGTCCTGATGTCCTATGGGGCCTTTAACACTTTGAGAAATGTACTATGGGGTGATCTTTTGCACAAAAAGACCACATATAAGCCAATTATTCACATCTGAGCCTTCTTTATCAAAGTGCAAATGGAAAAACTTAGTGGCATACCATATGTCCATACACTGAGTTCTCTTCCCTTATTCATCTCCAACCAAGCTTTGTATCACTGTCTTGCTGTTCAGCATCAATCAGCTCGGAAACCATATTTGCAGACGATCCTCCGCCTGATTTCCGCTTTATTCCAGCTTTTACTTGACCCTTTGACATCTGAGGTCACCTTGTCAAAGATGAAGCAGGAAGCTCTCACTGCTGCTATAGAGGCTGGGACTATACTTACAGTTTGTGCCATTGGAAGCTTTCTGGCAGCTGGAAATTGATATATTGCTTAGTCATAGAATTTGATTAGGTCAGACTTGACCAGTGTCACTCTCCAACATATTTTACTCCCTCCTTGATTTCATTTACAAACACACTTCCCCTACACAGTTGCGCAGGAGTCTTAGTATTATATGAGAATTTATCACCTTAGTACTTTGCTGGATCTGGCATAGAACAGTCTTGAGATATTAGGCAAGTAAATTTTTTCTTACAACTGCCCAAGCGTCGCCTATTTGAACGCCGTCTCCGGCGGACATCATTACGAGCACTCCGAATTGGGTGACCGTCCGGCGCCGGCTGCCGGCGCCGAACTCATAATCACATCCGTATAAACACGCAGAGAACCATTAAATCCACTCGTAAGCTAAGCAACAGACCCTATGAACTAAGAATGAACCCGAGATTTGCCACTATGATGTCTAGTCATCCCCGATATGAGCCTCCCTGATTACCATGTGCTAAAAACATGTCAGTGAGTGCACAGACGCTATGCGACACACACCACCTTGGAATGCCGGAGCAGTTCCATATCCCAACTAGCTGATGCTAGGCAAAGTGGTATCCGCTGTATACCCCAAGCTTTAGTAACGGACCCATGGTTTAATGGGCGGCTTACCATGCATATGACTGCCGCGCAGAGGGGGGAGCTGGCTGGAACTGAAGTGGGATGCTGTGTTGGCACCGAAACCTTGGAGCTCTTCAGCCTGAAGACACATCCGAGTGAAAACCACATGCCTTGGTTATTGCCCTGTAGTGCCGAAGTCGACGGCGTGGGAACTAGACTAAGTCAGCGCGAGAATGAACCCCAGATTGAAGCCGCACCAGACATGCCGTCGAGACGTCGTGGGAGTGGTCGAATGTGGCGAGCTTCAGGCTGTGCGCCGACTTGTGGACCAGCCGAGGGACTGGCTTGAGTGAGAGGCGTGCGTGCCTTGTATTCTCGCAGGCCATCGATGGGGTCTTCGGGATGAAGCTCTTCTTCTTTCTTGACACGCACCATGAAATACCTGTCGAGTCATCAGTTTTAAGACAGATACTGGGCCGACGACACACTTTTTCCACTCATCGCTGCTTGTTTCCGTCCCAAAATCTTTCACCAGATTGCCGACATGGCCGCTGAAAAGACCCCAGAACGACTGGTCCGTCTTCTGAGGCTTGGCGGTGTTGCTTATGTTAGTGGAGGAGTCGGTAGACTGAAACTTGTTGCTGTCTTCATGTAGGAGTTTAGGATTGAGTCGCGCAAAGTCCCGCTGCCTGTGATGAGCAAATTAGATGAATACAATGGAATACGCACATAGAGAATCATCCGGAGTAGGTGTTTGTTGGCGATCTTGGTGGACTCAAGTCCCATCTTCTTGGCGGCGCCACGCGTTGCTGTGGTCAAGCTTTGGTTGATGCTCTCCCCGATCTATGAATAACAGGTCAGCCCACACAGACCAGAACAGAGGACATACATGTTTCAACAGAGAGTTCTTCGCATAGGAAGCAGGTGTTCGTATGTCCTTTTGAAGTATACGAGCACGCGGAGCGCTGTAGTCGTTGAAAATGTCGTAGAAGCCGTTAGTGGCTTTGTTCTTTTTGAGGCTGGCCTGTTGCGAGTCAGACATGAGATAAGAGTTAATTGGAGAACGCACGATAGTGGAGGTAATAAGGCTGTCATTGTCGAATAGTTGCCGTTTTGGATCAAAAACGACGAGCTTCACTGCTGCAATGACTTCGTCCTTATAAAACGGTCAGTGAAGAACACGAGGATGATTAATCGGGCAACATACCTTCTGGTCCTGTGTCAAGGCCACCTGGTGGAGTGTTTTCCGCAATTGAAGAATCTCCGCCTTGAGCTCTGCAATCGCAGCAGCATTGGCCAATGCCATTTGCACGTTGAAGAGGTTGTGTGCTGCCGAGAAGAGGATGAGGATGAGCTCACTATGAGGAAGGTCCAACGACTGAAGGCATGGATAAGTACAAAAGGGTGTAAATAAATTATCACGCACTGCTCGTAAACGATGCAATTCAGCCTTGTTCTCAAGGCTAAGCTCCAGTGTGGCCGAAATGGATTCCACAAAGTCAATCGGGTTGACTACATGGATGAGAGTCGATGCCAAAGAGGGAGCCGCAGGCTGGCTGGAGTCGAAGGAGTCGGATGAGTTTTGTCGGGGAATTTGAGTGAACGGTGCCGAGTTGTAGTCCTGGGACGATATATCCATTTCGAAGGTGTTCTCGTAGTCGCTCGTCGTCATCATTGAGTAACGCTGGCCGTTTTGGGACTGCTGGTAGGCGTAGGACATGGAAGAAGGAACGAAGGGGATGAAAATATTGAGGCACAAAATACGCTGCCTTTTATACCATCTGGAGGGGGCCAACAGATGAGTTCAAGACCCGGACAGGTAGAGAATACTTGCTGCAAACGAAGAGCGGGGACCTGACCATGTTCACCATGAAACGAGTGCCAGCGCATCAACGACGCCGGTAAGCCTGGTTTAGCGTGTAATATGTGAGCGCCGGGCGGAGCATGCCAGGGTCGGGTCAGACGACATACTTTGGGGTTAGCAGATGTGCCGTTGGCCATGGATTTTCCCCACACCCGATGCCTGGGTGTGGTGCAGACTTGAGAGAAAAAGAGGTTGATGAAGGTCATGTGCTGATAGTCACGGTCACATGATTTCACATCATTTCCCGTTCTGTCACCACAACTTACATTCAGAGCTTTATTACATAGTATTGAAGGTTTATAAAATATGGCATACAAGCTATAGACTCTCAGAATACTAAT